AGGATTCTTTCTTTGTCTTTGGTTTTGGTGAGTTGGATGATGATATGTCTTGGTGATTTTCTTTTGGGGTCTATACTGTTTGGGGTTCGTTGAACTTCTTGGTTGGATACATCTCATCTTTCATCACATTAGGCAAATTCTCTTCCAACAAATCTTCAACAATATTCTCTCTGGTTTTATCTGTCTCTTCCTGTTCTGGAATTGCAGTTACACATAGGCTATTCCTCTTTATGATATCCCACATGAATCTTAGGCTTTCTTCATTATGTTTTGATCTTTTGTCTGATTGGTCCCTTAACAAAGTAGTATTGGGGTATTTATCTTCAGTCTCATTAATTCTGTCTTCCATTAATTTGGTTCTACTCCTTTGCCCATTCAATGTGTTACCTATTTCTGAAATGTTAGTATTAATCTTCTGGATTTCTGTTTGTTGTTTTTGTATCATTTCTAATTTTTCTTTTACTCTTGTCAATTTGTTTTTGTATTGTTTTCCTAAATTGTTCTAGAGTTTTGTCTGTGTTTTCCTTGATCTGTCTCTCAATCTATTGAAGGTACCCAAACATAATTCTTTAGAATTCCTTATCATGGAGTTCCAATGATGCTTTGTCCTCAGAGATATTTTCTGGGTTTATATCCTGGTCCCTTGTTTCTGCTACTTTATCTTCTTTGTGTGGATTGTCATGGTCTGTTGTCCCTGAGACATTGTGGTGTAGTGGTATTTATGTTTAATTTGTGGTTGTATGTTGGTATGATTCATGCAAGATTTTTTCCTCTTTATTTTGATTTGATGTGCCTGTGTGAGCAGGGTACTGTGCTCCTGTATTTACTAGTCGTTAGCACTTAGGCACTCTCCACCTGTCTCCTGGTGGGTGTGATAGAGAATGAGAGTGTATACGCAGATCTCTGTTAGCTGTTCATAAAGAGCAGTTGAGGGTGAATTGAGCTTGTATTAACTGCCATCTTTTGTTGGTAAGAACAAAAAACTCAAACCACATAAACAAACAGGAACAGTCATAAAAAAACCCCAATAAATAAGAAAAAAATTTAAATTTATTTTAAAAGGATCAAAGAAAGATAATGAGAAAAAAAGGCACAATATCTGGGGAGGGAGGAATGAGAGAGAAGAGCAAGAGTACAAGAATAGGGAAAACTGCAAAAGGAAAAACAAGGGAGGGGGAGAACTAAAAGAAAGAAAAAAGAAGGGGAAAAAAAAAGAAAAAAGAAATAAGAACCAGGGATGGAAAGAGGGGAAAAAAAGGGAGAAAGGAGGAAGATGAAAGAATAATTTAAAAACAAACAAAAACAAAACTTTGGGTGGTGGGGCACAGTACCCAGGCTCTGCCTGGGCAAAGACTTGGATGGAACCCCCACAGGTCAAGAAGGTGGTGGAGGTGAGGGATGGCCACACCACTGCTCACTAAGAGGGCACAGGGCATAAGAGTAACAAGGGGAATATCGCACTTCTCCAGTTGTCAGTCTCCAGTGCGGTTGCCCGTGCTGTCTTTGGCAGGCGGAGCCCACTCCTA